ATAACGAAAATAAGAACAAATTAGATAACAAAGGAATCAGAAATGAAAAACAAATATAACAAACCGCTTCTTGACTTAAACTCATGGCCAAAGACATAAACAGAATTTTCCCTGCTGTCAAAGAACGAGTAGTCTTCAAATTCAGAAAAATACGGCTCGAATGTCAAGCATGACTCGAGCATCCTGTACCCGTATTCACTGAAAATGTTGTAACGAAGTAAATAAAGCAACAATTTTACAAAGTAACAACACGAGACGTTTGAGCCAAATATTACAGGAGATGCGCCTATCAGTATTATCAAAGACTATAAAGAGCAAAAAGCTTTGATATCAACAAGCAAGAAAAAACCCATCTGTAATGATTAAACAAATCCATAAGCACAAATATAACTTATTGTTTCTAGTCACAAATGTCAAACACTATTCAAGCGAAAGTCACACTTTAACAGATTTATATGCAGCACTATCATCTCCCTCGGCAACACTTGAGTAAGCCAAACCAATATCAAAAAACTAGCCAGTCCAGAGCTTTATTTGCAACAGATTAGAAAAGTATCCATCCTTCACATGACTTGGCCAAATATATTTTCGAAGGACCAGAAATCATTTCATTGAAGACGCTTATGGATGAATGATGTGCGTTCAACTCCTCAAAAAAAGTTATCAACCACAAAACACTGCTGGGAAAAGATGCTTTTTCTGAAAACAGCAGTTGGTGCACAGAAGAAAGAAAAGATGACCGAAAATAAAGTAGAAAGGATTCCGCTGATAACGACAGCTTTCTAAATAGAGTTTATGCAAGTTATTAACAAAGAGACAATCGTAACTTCGATATTACTTATTGAATGTGGACAATGCTATCGTTAACAGTTTCGACCTTGTGAGGAATCAGACAAACTTATTGGAGCGTTAATTTAGCTTCTGTCTTGAAGTGGAACGACAAAAAATTCCCTGGCTCAAAAAACTTTACTAAACGGATAAGTTTCAGCAAATGAGAAAAGCAAACATTTTGAATTACAACAGCCTTAAGCGATCTCAGAAAAGCGAAACCACAATTGATACCTTTGAACATATCTCGAAAGGAACAAAGAAGAAAAAAAGAACATTTAACACTTGTTCTCAGTATTCTATCAGCGAAATTACAACTTTCCAACAAATTCGCCTAAGAGAAAATTATATACTTCTTCCCATAAAGTCACACTTACAAAAAGTGTAAATCTAAATCCGTCGATTATTTCCCTAATCAGTTCGAATCAGCACTGAATCGGGATCTCACTACTTACTAAATCATTAGAATAAACGTTCTAGTTGTACTCTTACACGATAACAAAGTGGAGGTTGTAAGACTTTGATTCATATAAATATCACATTATTCGGTCAAGTGGAACAAAAGTAAAAATAAAATTTTAATCATAAAAGGCCGTCCATAACAGTTTTCGTTCAGTTGTCAGTTATAAATTATCAGTATTTCCCGGCATTCCCTTCTCTAAGGTAAAAACAAGCACAGTGCTGAATACGTTTAAGCACTAGACTTCTCTACATCACTTGGAATCCGCAAAAGAAAGATCAACCAAACTACTCAAGGTTGCAATATCGCGTTTAGGCTTCCTTCCCGCTAAGCAGCGCTTAATTTTGATTTCCAAAACAGAAATTAAAACGTCTGCAATTTCGCCTCCC